TCTGTGTCTGTATTTATTGGTTTCCCTTTTCTTTGTTGAAGAGGGTCTGTGCAATCCTTCTGCCTAGTCCGCCATCTTGCCCCGCCTCCTTCACCTTCATTTTTGAAAGATGTTTTTGTTGAGTAAATCCTTCAAGTTGACTCCTTCACTACTTTAAAGACATTGCTCCATTGTCTTCTGAGTTACATTGTTTCTGATGAGAAATCTGTTCTTCTTAGCTTTGTTCCCCTTCTTGTAGGACTTCACTTACATGTTTGTTATGCTGCTTGATATAGTCCCATAGCTCACAGATAACCTATTCATCTTGTTTTCTCCATGGGTTTTATTTTAAGTAGATTTTATTGCTCTGTCTTCAGCTTCACAGATCTTTTCATCCATGATTCTAATTTACTGTTAATCCCATTCAGTGTAGTTTTATGTTTCAGTTCTAAAACTTTGAATCAGGCCTTTTTTCTTTCCTTTTTCTCCTTATGGTCATGCTTTCTTCTACCTTCTTGAACAAATGGAACTTACAGGTGGTCTGTGACTTACAACAGAATTCTGTTTCAATAACTGTGTTGTAAATTGGTTCTGATGTAAGTTGACTATTTTTTTAGTTTTCATTATCATTGCCCTTTATTATCAGTATCTTTATAAATCTGATTTTTATTTGTCTTTAGGGGTTGGCATGAGAATACCATCTGTAAATTAGGCCCTATGACACTGTATATAGTACATATTACTAATGATGCTGCTGACTGCCATCACGTCAGCTCTGACTCATAGCAGCCTCTCTTGGGTTTCTGAGATGGTATCTCTACAGAAGTAAATTGCCCAGTCTTCCTTCTGAGGAGTGGCTCATGGGTTTGAACCTCCAGCCTTCTGATTAGCAATCAAATGCCACCAGACACTGTGCCACCAGAAAAAATTGTTAACTCTGTCATTAAGTCGGAGACTACATATATATATATGTAAAAATATATATATATATATGTGTGTGTGTATATATATGTATATGTATATGTATATATATATTTAAGGCTGATTTTACATTCTTATCTACTAAATTTATTAACTGTGGTTTATGTGAGTATGCTTCTATTGATTGATTTTTTTCCTTGTTATGTATCCTATTTTCTTGTTTCTTTACATACTTAAGAGTGTTGGTGGTACAGTGGTTAAAGCACTCAGTTGCTAACCAAATGGTCAGCAGTTCAAAACCACCAGCTTCTCCATGGGAGAAAGATATGGCAGTCTGCCTCCATAGCAATTTACAGCCTTCGAAACCTATAGGGGAGTTTTACTTTGTTCTGTAGGGTCACTATGAGTTAGAATTGACTTGCAGGAGTAGCTTTGGTTTGGGTTTTACACGGCTTACTCATTTTTATTGGATGTCAGACATTGTATATTTTGCATTGTTAGGTGCTGGATTTTATGT